TATCCATCAACAATGTGGTCATCTTAAAATGGTTCAAAGGTCACACCACATCGAAACGTAACCGTCTTGCTGATTCACTAGCCAGTTAACACCGGACGATATAAGACGTTGTGAACTACATTAAATCTGTAGGCTGGCTCACGAGCTAGGAGGTGCCTATCATCTCAGGAGGATGCACAATGGACCTAATGAGGCCTAAGTGCCGTGGGGGGTAACCCACCCTCCACACATTACAGATACAGAACGTCGAAGAGAAAAATCTTTGTTGCTATCAGTTGAAATAGAATGGAAAGAATGACACTATAAAGGAAACTCGACATAGATTAACGTTGAAAAAAAACATCACGCCCAGTGACAAAGTCAAAGGGACATTAGTCATTATGTTCGCTGCTATTAATTTGATTTAAACGAGACAAACAGCATTCAAGTTGAACTAATATTTAACTATCATTACCAATGAAAAGATATGTGCAGTAGCAAAACCAAAAGGACCTAAGTCTATATCATGTTATTGATTTAATTTAAACGAGAAAAATACTAGGTTTTGTTCCAAGAACAAAGCAAATGTAAGTTTTCGTTTATCAAAATATATTAGATTACTTTAATTTTTCTACGACCAATGCTTATTATGTAAATTCTCATGCAACAAAATTTACCAGATTTCTTTATTTTTTTAAGACCAATAATACTTATGTAAGTTTTTCATTGAGCAAACTCTATCAAATATACTTTTTTCTAAAACCAATAAAATTAAACAAACGTTTTGATTAAATAAACTCTACTAGGTTACAATACTTTTTCTAGAAATAATTTTAGTAAATAAAAGATTTCATTAAAGAAAATAAGGGTTTAAAATGGGGTTTGTGTTACACTTAATGTAGAAAGTATCTTCATTCTAGTTTTTAAAAACGAACGCAAACTTAACAAACTTTCTGAAGGAAGAAAATTTATAAATAGTAGTTTGTGCAATAAAAGTGGATATAGAAAATCAACTTGAGTTGCATAGTATAAGTTTTCTACGACCCACTAACGAAAATCTACAAATTATTAAAATTATTTTAGGTTAATAAAACATAATAACTAATTTTAATATATTTATGAATTTGTCAATAAAATAGACATGAAAAAAAATGTAATTTACTTAGTTCCAGTCCAAATTTGAATCCGGGTGTCTCGCGTGAAAGACAGATGCTGCGTCCTTACCTCCACCTACCCATTTATGATTCTGGTTTTATTACTAGTAATTTAATTAGTTTCATATAGTTTGATTAAATTTTATAATGTATAACAAAATGTAGACAAAACAAAAATAGAAATGCTGTTATTCTACACAAAAATAATTTATTTTAATGTATATTTATTCTAAAAAATAAACTGACAATTAGTTTGACAGAATTGTCACTTACTTAAAATTAAAAGAAATATATATTTGTGCATAAAACTAACAAACTAAAAGAATAAACAAAACTGAATACAACACATTATATACTTTTACATATCTTCCGAATTTTTTAATTTTTACCATAATTTTTTAACATACAATGAAAAAATAAATATTTTAACCATTTGTTTTTGACTATATTAACGAAGAATGTATCGTTTTTGAATAAATAAGTAAAATTATACCTTATCTATAAAAAAATCAAGATTATACAAGTATTCGTCCGTTTAGTGATATTATAATTTAATTTTCAGTTTATCAGAAAAAAACTACATAACTAGTTACACAGCAAGTAGGAAATCATCGAGAATTCATATTAGCCATCGAGATAACTTTCCCGGCTTCGGATCCCGAAGGAGAATCCCAGAGGACCGGCCCCGGATTCCCTAGGGCGCTCTTTATCCTACACCAATACGTTTTCTGTTTTATAGACTAACCGTCGGCGGATAGGTAATATCTTAACTTTTAATAACGTCCAAGTTTTTCCATTAAATCAATGACTTATACTCTAGAAGAGATCGGAAAGCTCCCGTTTATGTCCGCGTGTGTGTCTAAAACTAAACTTCATGTTAATAAAAAGAAATAAGCAGACATGTTTACATGTCTCGAGAAAGTTATCTCGATATACAGATTGTCCTATTCTTTTTCGTATTGGTATCCTTTAAATAAAATAAATAGTTTATACCAAAAATATCGTAAGATCGAGAGTTTTATTGCATTTAATTCTACTTTAAAATAAATTTTAAAACGGTAAGAGATAATAAGCGTTTTTGAAAAAATCACTTAGAACTTTATAAATCATTTGAAAATAATTTTGTAGATGGAAAATATAAATTATTTATTATGTTCTTAATTGCGCACTTGGCACTTGATACTTTGTAACCTTTACACTTAATACAACCAAATCGTTTGTAAATCATTTTGGATGGGTAAAAGAAATAATATAATAAAATTATTAAACATAGGTATTAATATGAAATAAATTAATAACAAACCACTAGACATAAATTTACAATAATTCACCTAAAATTAATAATATAATCTTATAAAAAAAAATAAACAAATAATTACAATCATAGCCCACACGCTATAGATCAGGCTGGAAATGATTGATCTCATACTCGTAAGTTGTAATATTTTCTTTAGAGAAAATACATACTATATTTAAATCAAAAGACTCACCATTTGAATCCGCCCATTTCTCATTGACTCTATGTCCCATATGTTATTCCAATATTTCTTTCCGCTTTCAAATAATATCCATTGTTTCCAGTAGAATTTCCCGATTAAGACGCGTCCGGACAAATCTTCTACTCCGGACGACATTAATGATAATCCTATCATGTTCAATTCTATATCAACCCTTCGATACGTAGACGTATCTCCAGGTAGTATATCTGCAGCCTTGTCCATTTAATCCTGGAAGTTACATCCTAGGACGTACATTCTGGGATCAAACGTCTTTATTGTCAGAGGTGAAATGAACATGAGCTCAAATCATTGATATCGTGCTACCGATTAACTCGAGAACTTTGCGACGATTTAAATTTTGTTTTTTCGGAAATTCGCTGAAAATAAAAAAAATTATTAGAAAATTGTTAAACTCTCAAAATGATATATAATATTCATAGAAGGAAACTAAAAGGCCGGCGGAAGCTCTACTGGGGGTATAGTAAATTCCACACATAAAAAATTTCAGATTGTGGAATTTCACACATCTGCACATGCATAAAAAAATTTCAAACCATTTTTTTGCTATTGAGAATAGTCCAGAAACACCTCAACAATATTAAAATTTTGTATACCTATGCAAAGATGGTTGATAGTTTTAGCATCGATTTATTGTTATATAAAATTGTTAAAAAATCATTAAAAAAATATTTACATATTATATTTTAATTTTGTAAATAAAAAGTGACTTAACCTATTCAACGATAACACTGGTCAACAAATTTACACTTTTTGACTGATGAATGACTTATGTCACACGATGTATACTAATTTTAATTTGCTGATTCTAAATATACCCCCACTTTTTTTCTGACAGCTCTTGTTTACGAGTTATAGCTTTCACTAAAAATTCGCTGTAATAAAGTGTTTATTTGCAGTTAATTTAATAATTATTATTGAATTATTATACATATTTAATTTTATTTTAAATACCATTAATTTGATGTCAAGACAGATTCGCCCTCATACATTTGACCCCCTGGTACATTTGAGCCCCTGTCTTGATTTTTCGAATAATGATAAAATTTAAGTGAAATAGTTGCGACCCTACCCCTATTAATCCCAAATAGAAGTCGAATAATGATAAAAATGCCTAACTTCTCTAGCTAAGTTAGAGTAACCGACTGTAGGGCTATGCATTTTGTAAATATTCTGTAAATACCATTCTTCTTGTAAGTTTTTAAAAAACAAATAAAAAATTAAAAACTAAAATAAATACAAAAAAAAACTTTTAAACACGCCAGCAAATCGCTGCCAGTCCTAAGCCTGGAAAAAGTAAAGAAAAATTTTAAAAATAAAATTAATTATAACTGTATATGTAGGCAAGTAGGACTATATATTGTAATATTTTTACCTAACTCAAGAGATGATCTAACCCGTGTACGAAAATGTGACAAAATTGACCGTGTACTCAAATGGGACGTATGCAAATAGTACTATATCCTAATAAATATATTACTCATTTACTTCAGGGAAATAGAACATAACAGTATCATATACTGTAATGTGTTGCCTAGCAACCTTGTTTTTATTTTAGAAACAATTACTTTTTACTTTATTTCAAACATAAATATTTCTATCTTACCTATTTGACAGTAAATAGCAATCATGCTTAACTATGGAAACAATGGCTCAATTGCAGTTAAGGTAGTGATGTAAAAAAACTATTTTTTTTTTATTTTAATTAACATCTATTTATTTTTTTTTTTAAATATTATAAAGACAGGATAAAATAAAAATCCAGGCGAAATTAATAAATTCATTCTAGGTAATAAGACCCATTATTAATGGGTGATTTCGAATCATCAAAGTATCTTAAACTTATAGTTAACGTAATATAAACTTTTAATTCTGAAACACCCTGTATATATTAGTAAACCAAAAAATATACTTCTTAATTTATAATCCTCTTTAATGACTTCTGTTGTACGACCGCGGTTACCCCTCTGTAGTTTCTTAGAACATACTTATAAAGGTAAAAGTACCTCTCTTTAATGTCCAGTAAAACCCAATATCAAAATTCTTAAGAAATGATCTTTTGTTATTTTAGGGGAAGGCTTAGTAAGACAATAGTGAAATTATCTTTATTGTCAAGAAGAGTATGTGTTAATGATTCAAACAATTTTTGTTTCATTTGCGGAGAGTACGTACTTAAAGAATGCCGTTTAAATGTGACAACGTTCGTAAATGAGGCATACAAAAATTGCTTTGGGCACTCGCTTGAAATGAAGAATAGGCTTTGGATTCCGCAAAAGGTATGCAAAACATGCGTTGAGTTCCTACGTTTATAAACAAATAAAAAAGACCAAGTTTTAGGTACAAAACCGCTATGATTTGGAATGAACCCATGAAACATCATGACGATTGTTATTTTTGTTTGGTGAACATAACTGGTATTAACCAAAAAAATCGAGCGAAATGGGAATATCCTTCCATACAATCGGCACATAGACGTGTCCTGAGCCCTAAGTCTACACCTGAACCTCAATCTGGTACTCTACAGGAAGAGTCAAAAGATTTTGAGAAGAAAAACAACAGTAGTGATAGTGATTTTGAATGCGACCTGGGAACGCCAAAACCATTCAATGAAGATAATGTAAACGACTTAATTAGAGATCTGGGACTGTCAAAGTCAGCTTAAAAAATTTGGGCTTCAAGGCTAAAAGAAAGAAAATTGGTAACGAAAGAAACTAAAATTTCTTATTACGCTCAAGAGAACAGAATTTCCTCAAATATTTTGCTGAAGAAGATAATTTCGTATTTTGTAAAGATGGCTGCAATGGGATTACAAAATTATGTTTCTAGTGTGTGGCGCGTTTATTCATAGACTCGTCAAAACGGAGTCAAAAATGTGTTCTCTTACACAATGGGAATAAATTAGGGTCGTTGCCTATTGCAAATTCTACAAAAGTAAAAGAAAAATATACAACTATTGCTCTTATTTTGGACAAAATTAAATATGTTGAAAACAACTGGATCATATGTGTTGATTTAAAAATGGTCAACTTTCTATTAGGCCAGCAAGGTGGTTACACAAAGTATCCTTGTTTTCTTTGCTTGTGGGATAGTAGAGCTAAAAATCAACGTTGGGTTAAAAAGGATTGGCCTACTCGGAAAGATTTAGTTCCAGGACAACAAAACGTGCTAAAACCACCTTTAGTGTCAAGAAATCGTATAATTTTGCCTCCGTTGCATATAAAATTCGGGCTTATAAAACAGTTTGTCAAAGTTCTTAACAACTTCTGGAAATTGTTTCCTATTTCTATCAAAAAATTCCCGAAACTGAGTGTAGAAATGATAAAAGCGAGCATTTTCGATGGGCCACAGATGGCTTGTTCAAAAATTTTTGGGAAATAAGAAAAGTTCTATCTATTCTCAACACGTTGAACAACTAATGAGTCACTTTCAAATCCTTGGATGTAACATGAGCATCAAGTTGCACTTTCTTCACAACCACCTAGATTATTTTTCCGCTAATCTTGGGAATCTAAGTGAAGAACAGGGCAAGCGATTCCACCGGGACCTTCGTACGATGGAGGAACGGTATCAAGGCTACTAGAACGCACATATGATGGCTGACTATTGTTGAAGCATTTAGAACAATTCAATGGGTTCAAACTCTGCAAGGAAGTCTTACAAAAGAAAGTTTTTTTCACCTTGAGAACTAAGTAAAATATGATTAACTTTAAACAAATTGTGTTTTACTATGAAACGGCCATGTGTCATATTTTCTAAACTAGAGCTAATACAGAAAAGTAATTTAGATTACAGATTTGAAGTCTTCATTAAAAATTAAGTTAGTGTCATGTTATATAACTCAATCATCAGAAATGCTGTTGTGCAGTGTAGTCAGTCTATTATTTATAAATTATACAGGTTGTCCATCAATGAGTAATTAATTAACAGCCGTTTTATTATTGGAGATACAAAGAAATTTTGTATACCAAAGATTTACCTAATGTTGACGACCATATTTTAAAAAATCTTAAATATATAGGGTAATCTGTAAATAAAAAATAATAAAATTAATTAATGAGATGGTTTAAACTATTATTTTGATATAACGGGAAAGGTATACAGATTTTAAACATTAATTTATAATGTTTGGTTAAAAAATTTATAAGTTTAGTTCGCACCTCATTTATGGACTATTTTAAAATTATTTTAAAATTAAATTAACATTATTTTTAATATTTTATAAGTTTCCAAAACCTTCTGAGAAAGAAAAAGAAGAAGATTTTTCACAAGTCAAAAACAAATCACAATATATCTTTGGAGGATGCATAATGAACCTAATATGGCCTAGGTGATGTGATCAATATACTTCTATGTTTAAATTGAGCTAAGGAAAAATTATTAATTGATTTTGAGTATTGAAATGGAACAAAAAAATTTAAAAACAATGTAGATTCGCAATGTTTTCAAAAATATAGTATTTATGTTTCTAAAACGTTAGCGAAAAAGGTAGTAGATTTTTTAAAAGTCAAAAATCAATTACAATATATTTGGAGGATGCGCAATGAACCTAATGAGGCCTAAGTGATATGACCAATACACTTATAAGCTTAGGAACATACTTAACATTTCTTGTTTGTTTTTGAGGTTTGAAATTTATCAAATAATGTGAAAAAACAATGTAGGTTCCCAATATTTTGATAAACTATTCTGTTTCGAAAACTTTTTAAGTAAAAATAAGATAGTAGGTTTTTTAAAACCAATCAGATAATAGCCTAGGAGGATGCAAAATGAACCTAATAAGGCCTAAGTGATATAGCAATACATTCTTTTGATAAAATTAAGCTTAGAACATACCAAAAATGTCTTATTTGATTTCGACTTTTAAAATGAATCAAAAAAACTAAAAAAAAAGAACAGTGCAAATTCACAATATTTAGTAATAGTAGATTTTTGACAAGTTAAAAAGCAATCATAATGTGGCCTAAGAGGATGCACAATGAACCTAATAAGGCCTAAATGATATGAGCAATACACTTTTAAGTTTAGGGACATACTAAAAATGTCTTGTTTAATTTTGTGATTTGAAATTTATCATATAAATTTAAAAAACAAAATAAATTCGCAATATTTTCATAAAGTTAGTTTTTTCTGTTTCTAAAACCTTCTAAGCAAAAATAATCCAGTAGATTTTTAAAAGTCAATCAGAAGGTAGCCTAGGAGGATGCAAAATGAACCTAATAAGGCCTAAGTGATATTAGCAATACATTTTTTTGTTAAAATTAAGTTTAGGAACATACTAAAAATATCTTATTTGATTTTGTGTTTTGAAATGAATCAAAAAACTAAAAAAAAACAGTGTAAATTCGCAATATTTTCAAAAAGATAGTATTTATGGTTCTATAACCTTCTAAGCGAAAAAAAGGTGGTAGATTATAACCAAGTCAAAAAGCAAATATTATGTAGCCTAAGAGGATGCACAATGAACCTAATAAGGCCTAAATGATATTAGCAATACACTTTTAAGCTTAGGAACATACTAAAAATGTCTTGTTTAATTTTGAGATATGAAATTTATCATATAAATTTAGAAAACAAAATAAATTCACAATATTTTTATGGGAGGATACAAAATGATTCTAATAAAGCCTAAGTGATATAAGCAATACATTTTTTTTGTCAAAATTAAACTTAGGAACATACTAAATATTTCTTATTTGATTTTGTGTTTAATCAAAAAACTAAAAAAAAAATTCGCAATATTTTAAAAAAAATAGTATTTATGGTTATATAACCTTCTAAGCCAAAAAAGCTAGTAGATTTTTAACAAGTCAAAAAGCAATCATAATGTAGCCTAAGAGGATGCACAATGAACCTAATAGGGCCTAAGTGATGTGAGCAATGTACTTATATGTTTAAATTAAACTTTGTAACACACTAAAAATTTCCCATTTTATTTTGAGTTTTGAAACGAAATAAATAAACCTAAAAAAATAATACAAAATAGCAATCTTTTTAAAAATATAGTAATTATGCTTTTAAAACCTAAGCAAAAGAAGCTAGAAGACTTTTTACATATCAAAAATTAATCATAATATAACGTTGGAGGATGCACAATGAACCTAATAAGACCTAAGTGATGTGAGCAACATACTTTTATGGTAAAATTAGGCTTAAAAAAACTCAAAAATTGCTTATTTGATTTAAGATTTAAAATTTATCAAATTAATCTAATAAATAAATAAATTAAAGAACAATATAAGTTCGTAATATTTTTACAAAGTTAGTATTTTCTGTTTCTAAAACGTTCTAGGCGAGAAGTAGATTTGTATACCTTTGGAGGATGCACACTAAATCTAATAAGGCCTAAGTAATGTGAGTAATACTTTTGTATAAACCCACATGGATATTAGCTTATCTACGCACAGATTACAAAACGAAAATGTATGCTATTGTATTCAACTGAACGAATATATTTCATATCCATTCTAGACAATGATAACAGTGCAAAAAATGAAAACTACTATTATTTTTAAAATTTGAAATAAGTGACAATTCTGTCAAACTAATTGTCAGTATATTTTTTAGTTATTGAGATTAAATAATCATTAAAATGAGTTATTATACAGTGAGAATCTTAAGTCTTACCCCCCCCCCCCCCTAACTAACTCGTTACTGGAGTCTTGTTAGGAAAATCGCCGAGACAGGACGATTTTTGTTTTCTACAAAGTACATTTTTGTATAAATATTTTACCCTTAATTTCATCCCTTACTGGAGGGGAGCAACCCTTTCGAAAAATTTAAATAGCATGGGGTGGTGAGTGATAGCTCATTTGAAAGAGGGTTTTATTCTCTATTCAACCATGTAAAAAATTTTGAAATTTGCTTCATTAATTCTCGACTAATTTTTGTTTCAGAATAACGGAAATTAACGTAGCACACTCATCCTTAGAATTAAAATTCGGCCCTGCATGATTTCGGTTTTGGTTCAGACGTGAAGTAAGACTTTTTGCCATTAGAAGGTCACTATTAGTTTAGTTGCTTTCCTATTTTGTGATATTTTGTTATTTTTAAACATTAATAAATCAACACGTAATGAAGTAAATTTAAAATTTTTTTGCACGGTTGAATAGAGAATAAAACCCCCTTTAAAATGAGTTATCACTACCACCCCATGTCATTTAAATTTTTCGAAAGGGTTGTTCCCCTCGAGTAAGGGATGAAATTAAGGGTAAACTAATCATACAAAAATGTACATTGTAGAAAACAAAAATCGACCTGTCTCGGCGATTTTCCTAACAAGACTCCAGTAACGAGTTAGTTAGGGGGGGTAAGACTTAAGATTCTCACTGTATAGAATCGACAAATAATAGCATTTTTATTTTTAATTGGTACACATTTTTAACTCTATTAAAATAGTAATGCATGAACACGAAATTTGAGCACGACGCCGTAGCCAGAGTGCTCAATCGTCTGAGTGCGATGTGGACAATCCACTCGAGTTGTACAGTATATTTTTTCTACGATCCAATAACGAAATTTTACAAATACAAAAAATATTTAAGGTTATTAAGACAAAATAACTAATTTTAAAATAATTTATGACTTTTAATAATTTTTAAAATAAAATAAACGAAAAAAGAAAGGAAAAAAATTCATTTCATTTTTCCCTATCCGAGAATCGAA